TGGCAAAGGCTGAGAAACTTGTTAGCTTCTTCATCATGTGTGTAATAATAATCTTCATGTTAGATTTGACAGGTAATATGCATCATGATATATGAATCTTACTAATTCATCCATTATTTGTTCAACATAATCTATTTATTCATTGTAACCAGCAAGAGAAAAAAGAAGGTTAGATTGCATTTGACCTTTTTGTTTAGAGTTAAGAAAATAAATTATATTAATTTTCATATATAAGAACTTGTTTTCATTTAATGAAGTGCAAAAACATTCGAGTTAAACAATCCAGCCATTTGTGGTTTTTTTTTTAGTGGAAGTGGAGTATATTTTAGTAAGATTTAGTTAAAACTAAAACAAACAAATTTCAATATTTCTTGCTTACTGATTATTATCTTATCAGGAATACCACAAATAGAAGCTGCAACAACTTATGTTATGAAAGAAATGAAGGAGATGTGTTCAAAACCAAATGGGAATGAATTGTGCAATAAAGAGTGCCAGAAAAAAATGAAGAAACCTGGAAATTGTCACGAATTTTCTTCTTATGGAAACGTGAAGGAGCTTTGTGTTTGCACGGATATATTGCCTTTAATGACAAAGTAAACATTTTTTAAAATATGAATTTGAGAATGTATTTTTAACATTCTCAAATCCAAATAAATTTACTTGATTTAAAAAATATGTTAAAAAATCTATATGGATTTACTTGATTTTAATAAAAAAATTTTAAAAACGATGTGACTTTTTTGTTGTTGGGTACAACTATGTGATTTGGTTGGACTTCCAACTCAATTAGTAAAGTTCCATAATACATAATTTTGGTTCGTATTATCCATATACCAGTATCCATGTTAAACATCTTTTGATTTAAATGACCAGACATTCATAAGTTTTAGTTAAAACTCCATTTTTGAGTAAATAAACAAGAAGGATTTAGGATTCTGCGTTGGACTTTTGGGAATTTCTGTCTAGTTTACAAAGATTGCATTAGACAATTAAAGAGAGGCCACATAGATACAAACATGTGGATTAACAATAGAAGCAACTAATTAAAGGCAAGATACAGAGGACTTGATGATGTCTTGTTTTAACGTAGCTTCTGGACTTGAAGGGAATGGCTCTGATGACATTCTGGTGGTATAGGGCAGCAAGTGCAGCTCCAGTGAATGGTTCAACCCAAAACACCCACTGAAAATGTCAGAAAAAATGAAATCGTCAGAGAAAAATAATCGAAACCTAGTTTAAAATACCAAGAGCCAATAGTTCAACTGGTAAAGCCTAGAGATCGCTGGGGGAATTAAGTAATTTATCCAATATTAGTTTTAAAAAAATATATCCAATACTAGATTTTTTTCCTTTATTTGGGAATTAAGTAATTAACGGTAAATTTGAAAAAGAATCAAAATTAAAAGTATACCAAATCAATACATAGAAAGAAAACAGCAAAACCGATTGGAAGTGGTGCAAGAATCTGCATAAATTGTTACAAAACATAAGCCAATAAAGGAATTCAATGTGGAACCATTAGAATCACTCTTTCTTGCACTACACTTAATTAAGGTTGATTTTTTTTTGCTAAACTACTTAATTAAGGTTGATATGAATCACTCTTCTCTGCTTATCATGTATGGTCTCTTTTGTTTGTCCATCTACCCTCAAACGCTTTTTGATCTGCTGTAAATATGGTTGGTAGGATCGGATAGCTAATTCATACCTAAGCATTGTCTTCTCTTTAACATTCGTGAAAAAACTATAATCCCATGTTATTTGGCTTACAATATGTTAATTTTGTGCTTCTATTACAATCCCATGTTCAACCATTGCGTCGCTGCTCCTCTCTAGCTTTATTAGTACCTCTGCATCTCTTCTAGAAACCACTGCGTTGCTGCTCCTCTCTAATTTGTAGAAAGTATGTATTAGTAAGATGTATTTAATTAAAACTAAAATATGCATGTTCGCAAAGAAATTTCAATATTTCTTACTTACTGGTTATTATCTTATCAGGAATACCACAAATGGAAGCTAACCAGATATGTGCCAAAACCGAAGTTAAAGAGATGTCACCTGGTGCGATGTGTATAAAACCAAATGGAAAAAAATTGTGCCGTGAAGAGTGCCATAAAATAAAAAAGTTTGGAAGATGTAACAATTATATATATCTTGGAAAACGGCAGAAGGTGATTTGTGACTGCTATGATTGCATTTGCAGTGGTATTGGTTGTTTTATGGGACGGAAGCTTTTAAGGATAGAACAAGATCCGTTGGAAACAAGGGGTTTGAGAGTTTTTTTTCATCATTTTTGGAAAAATTCTTAGGTTGTGAATACTAAATGCAATAAGAGGACTAAATATACTATTTATAATAAAGCATAAAATAATAATATTTTTTAAAATATTCCAAAAACTAAACATTAAATATAAATCCAACTAAT